CCTTTCGCCTTCGCTTCCTCGCCTGGCAATTCTCGTCTCCTCCCGGTCAGTTCCCGCAGAGTTTGTGACGAAAAAGCAAAGCAAGGGAAAGACGAGCCCACCAGCCGTCCGAGCGCACCGAAGCCCCAGAGCCCCAGCTGGCCCTCCTCCTCGCTGGCTCATCGCCATGCCATTGATGTGAAGTTGATGCGCCTTCGCCCTCAGCCTTGTGCGAACATCATCGCCAACGGCATAAGCGCGGTTCGCCCCGAGCTTGGCCTTGCCCCGACCAAGTGCGCCCGACAACGCCGGATTGTGCTGCGACTGGTCGCGACGACCGGGCTGCTGCGATCAAGCCTTGTCCGTGCCCGCACTGCAGCGCCGAGCCTGGCGCGAGAATATTATGCCCTGGCCTCTGCCTCGTCTGCTTCCCGTTTTGCCTTTATAAACGACAACACGCCGACGACGACGACGCTCACAACGCTCGAGACGATGGGGAGCGGTAACAACAAGCGACCGGCCGCTGCGAGCTCCACGGCGCCGAGCCTTTCGAAGAAGAGAAAGACGGACAATATGCAGAAATACTATGCCGTACAGGCGGGCTTTGTTCCGGGCGTGTACCTGACATACGCGGAATGTCAAGCCCAGACAGCCGGCTTCAAGGGCGCCGTTTGTGAGTTGGCCACGTTATTTTCCGCGGCGGGTGACATAGTAGATATTGCTACGAACCTTTCGTTCTTGAAGATTGCTTGAGGCAGCAGCTCTAACCTTATGGCATATCCGTCCTGCAGTCAAGTCCTTTCTCTCAAAAGACGACGCCGAAGCCTTTGCAGCCGGCAAAAAGGTGGCCGTGGCTGACGAGCCTGAAAAATTCTACGCTGTTGCTGTCGGCAACCCGACCGGCATCTTCACAGACTGGTCGGAAGCCTCGAAGGCCATCACCGGGATCAAGGGTCCCAAGTACAAGCGCTTCAATACCCGCGCAGAAGCCGTTGCATATATCCGACACCATGGCAACAGGGAAGCAATCGAGGCTTTGGGAGAGAAGGTAGAGCCATTGGTGGAGAAATTTGAGGTGGAGGAAAAGCCGGCTATAAAGAAGTTCACTCCCATCGAGAAGGTGGCTGTCACAAAGAACCGCGAGCTCGACACAAGGCCGCAAGAAAACGTGCTGAACATCTGGACGGATGGCAGCAGTCTGGCCAACGGCAGGGCCGGCTCTCGCGCCGGGCTGGGCGTTTACTTTGGAGACAACGACCCTCGTAACCTTGCGGAGAGACTGCCCGGCGAGCCGCAGACCAACCAACGCGCGGAGCTCATGGCTATGCAGCGCGCCTTGGAGATTGCGCCGACCGACCAGACCGTCCGCATCCACAGTGATAGCCAGTACTCCATCAAGTGTGTAACCCAATGGGCCGATGGCTGGAAGCGGAAGAACTGGTTGACGGCCAGCGGCGAGAGTGTGAAGAACCAGGATATCATACGGGCCGTCCTCGCAAAGATGGATGAGCGAACCAAGGCGGGAAGCAACACATACTTTCAGTGGGTGAAGGGCCACGACACGAACATCGGCAACATTGCCGCAGATCGGCTAGCCGTCAGAGGAGCCAATCTGCCTTGAGGCCGGCGTATGAGTCTTACGCCGAACCACGGCGATTGTGCGGCGGCACGGGAGACCCGTGCCGAATGGAGACGCGAGGCCATACTTCTTGGTGTCTTGATATTCCCTTTCTATCCCCGATGCTCTTCTGCCAACCCACATCCGACGGCTTTGCTACAGAGATGTGGTGTGCTACGAGGAAGACACGGCGGGGCTGCGGAGAGGGCATAGCATGGAGTTGGGCATGAACATTAATGATTGTAACGGCAACAGGACGGGCTGGATGCGATTCTCTATTTTCACGTGTTTCTTATATACCAGCTGTTGAAGGGCGGGTGTGGGTGATGTCTTTCCTGGATCTCACTGCTTGGGTCGTTGAGATGGTTTGACTCGGAGGTGTGTGTTTCTCGTTCTCATTGCCTGTAAACATACTCGTATCTGATTCGGTAAATAAAACGAAGAACAATAAGAGACAGCAGTCGAAAACGTCAGTTGTGCTGCGATATAGAAATCAGCAGCAGGGCTTATCACGTCTAGATGATCGTCATAGCTGAGCGAACACTTCCCCATAGAATTATCTCATCGATGACACCAGATTGGCCGCTCCCGCTCTCCCTCAAGATCCTAGTCCAGCCGGCCCCCAAACCGTCTTCTCTAATGGTGGAGATTTTTTTTCACTACAGTATGGCTGACTGAGAAGAGAGACGCCACTTGCCAAGGCTTTCGTAGAAATTCTATCCATCTTGGCGGTTCTTATCGGCCTTCCGTTTTCCTTTTCTATTTTATGACTGATTGATATACAGAGTGGAAAAAAGGCGGTCATCGGCAGAGACTCTGACTCCTGAAGTCCTCCCTTGTCATACCTTTACCGCCGTACAAATTCGTTGCCTTGTCCTCTTAGACAGGAACCAACCTGTTCTCTTCGAAGAAAACTAACCCACCGCCACCTCCAGCTTTGTGGAATCCCCGATCGCGAACCCACCGGGGCCAACGCCTCCTCTGCAGGATATAGAAGAGTTGAAATGATCTCGACTGCTATCGTCGGTACTGGACTTTCCTCGCGTTGCTAACATTTGCTATCACCCTGTGAAGGGGATCAGCAAAGATGGCCGATATCTGGGCCGTTCCGTTGGCGTTGACCGACTTCAATATCGTGGTGGCTGTCCTGGGGGGCTTTGTGTCGCTGTTCGGGCTGGTGTCGTATCTGCTCAAGGAGAACTACTACCTGTCTGAAGCTCGTGAGTCTCACCATGCACCCTTTCTCTCTCTCTGAAACAATCTTCCCGGGCTGTTATCTGTTTCTCTCAAGTTGTCGCAGCTCGGCGGAGACTGTCTGAACACCAAACGAAACATTGCTATCCAGCATCAAGTCATCTTTCTCCAATTCCTTGCTAACCCGCATGTCTGCTGTGCTGCAGTCATCTCTCTCCTAATCGGCGTCGCCTTCGGACCCCATGGCGCAAACTTCATCCGCCCAGACGCATACACCGGCTGCTCCGGCGTGACCGACGTCGCCTGCACCGAGAGCCGCCTGGGCAGCATCACGCTCAACTTCTCGCGCCTCGTCCTCGGCGTGCAGCTGGTCATTGCCGGCGTGCAGCTGCCGAGCAAGTACCTCTGGCGCGAGCGCAAGTCGCTGATGCTGCTGCTCGGCCCGGGCATGGCCGGCATGTGGCTTGCCACGAGCTTCCTCGTCTGGGCCTTTGCCGGGATGCCCAGCTTCCTGCATGCCCTGGCCGTCGGGGCATGCGTCACGCCTACGGATCCTGTGCTGTCTGCTGTCATCGTTAAGGGGAAGTTTGCGGACCACAACATCCCCAAGGAGCTGCAGAATCTGATTGTGGCCGAATCCGGAGCCAACGATGGCCTGGGCTATCCCTTCCTCTTCTTTGCCCTCTATCTGATCAAGTTTGTGGGCTCGGGCGCGACCTCTGGCGGGGCTGGAGAGGCCATGGGCCTCTGGTTTGCGTGGACCTGGGGCTACACCATCATCCTGAGCATCATATACGGCGCCGTCGTCGGACTGCTGGCCAAGGAGCTGCTCCGCTGGGCCGTCAAGCGCAACTATGTCGATCGCGAAAGCTTCATTGTGTCCGCCATATCGCTGGCCTTGTTTGTGCTGGGGACCTGCGGCCTCATCGGCACGGATGACGTCCTGGCCTGCTTCATCGCTGGAAACGCGTTTACATGGGACGACTGGTTTCGTCTCGAGACCCTTGACGACTCGCTGCAGCCGACAATTGACATGCTGCTCAACGTCTCCATCTTCTTGTGGTACGGGGCATACATTCCCTGGACTGAGTTCCGCCACAACTCCCTCGTTCCCATATACAAGCTCGTGCCTCTCGGGGTGTTGGTGCTGCTTGTGAGGCGCCTCCCGTGGATCTTTGGGCTGCATAGGTGGATTCACCAGATTACGGGGACGCATCAGGCTCTCTTTGTTGGCTTTTTCGGGCCTATTGGTGTGTCGGCGGTGTTCTATCTGTTCATCACGTTGGAGTTTATTGAGAAGTTTTTGAGTGATGAAGAGGGGAACCCGAGAAGCGATGTCACACATTTGGGCGCCACTGTGAGAATCGTGGTTTGGTTTTTGGCGGTTTGCAGCGTGGTAAGTTTCTTCTGGCTTCTTGAGCCCATGATGTTGAAAGATGTGCTAACGACGTCGTTTGCTGTCCAGGTTGTCCACGGCTTGAGCATTCCCCTGGGCAAGATCGGGTACCTCGCACCACGCACGCTTTCTCGCGTGCTCACCGAGACCAGCATCAGCACTTCCGCCGGCGGCCTTGGCAACATGGACAACCCCTCGACCTTTTCCACCATAGCCAGGTGGTTCCCTGGCGGAAACGGTGGCGCCGGGGTGGCCACCAGAGAGACCGTCGTCGGGCCCCCTCTGAGCACATCTGCCACGTCAGAAGTATCAAAGCCGCAGCCTATGCCCCCCTCTGCCGACATTCCGCTGGATGCCCTCGGTCCGGATGCTGGGCCTCGAGAGGCGGCCCGAAATGCCGTCCGGGAGACACAGATTCGCTTCCACGACGAGCTGGAGTCTCGGAACCCGTCTCGAAACGAGTCGAGAAACCCTTCTCGAAATGTGTCTCGGGACCCCTCACGAAATGTGTCGAGAAATCGAGACGAGCCTCGGAGAAAGGGAGATTCAGCCTCGCCGACGCCGAGCCCGAAATAGACACATTTGGGGCCAATTTTTTAATTTCTTTGCTCATGCTCGAAAATTAGACCGCAAGGCCAGCCATATAGACGCTGTTAGAGCTTGATACGTGTATCCTTTGGGATTCTCTATCCTTCCGAGGGTAGTACGGAAACATGACTTAGATACTAGATATTGTATGAGATAAGGTAGGCATCAAAGCCTACATGTAACTGCAAACCTACACAGCTATTTCCACCTCCATGCATGATCAGTAGATTACCTTACATGCAACTTGCACTTCGTAGGATTACTGCTATGTAAGGTAATGCCAGGCCAAAATACGTATACCTGAGGAGTGCGTACAAGTATCTTCAGCGTCAATGTATCTGAAACCCTTGATCATGTAATCAGTTACGATGCACTTCCATGGCAGGCCACGTTGCCCTGAGACATTCAAAGGGTCCCTGCGAAAGACGACACTTGTCCATTTGTTGGGGGATGACGAACGATTCAACAAGGCGGGATAGAAGGAAATAGATACTATGAACGAATTGTCGTGAGGCTTAGCTCTTGTGGGGAAGTGGGGTTTGTTCTGGAAGATTACAGCCGCTCTTCTCTTTTTTCTTTTCGGAATACTAGTACTACTACGGAGAATAGCCTACTCGCAAGTTGAGTTCAGTGCTGATGGTTGGATGAGTGTACGTAGGCCTGAAGATGTGTGTAAGGGTGCCTCGGCAAGGTGAGCATTTGTACGAATATAAATGCGCGCCTTGAATTATCAGTCCCAAGTGAAGAGCTTATGAAGTCTGCAGAAGCCACATGCCGCCTTGTGGTAGCTTGGACAAATGGAATGACCAGTCACCGGACGTTCATCACGAGTCACATACATAGCCTTTGGTGTGAGTGATGGTTAAGGTAAGGTTGTAGGTTAGGTTACTGGGTAGGTAAGTAGTGGCTTCACGAGAGTGGCTCCAAGCTCGCCTGTAAAGTTGACACGTTTCCATCCCATCGCTAAATAACTGATGTCAAGTAAACAGAAAAGAAAGCCTCAAACTCATACCTTGAGCCGTCGAATCAAACTTCGAAGGAAATACAAGTGCAAAACCGAAGCTGTGGAACAAGGAACCACTTTGTTGGCAGGCCGGGGCCACGGACAGATTCGAGTTGCGCTGCCCCCGACGCACTGTGTGCGTCAGCGACCGGGGGCTATTGAAAGACTTTAAACTGGGTGCATATGCACGGGCAAGGGTTTGTCTCTGGGCCAGCCCAAGGACGGTGCGAAAACCAAAGAGTCGCAGACGGTGTACATACAAGAAGGGAATCCCATCCAAAATTGCTGTGTGGTCATCATTGTGCGATGCCAAAAGGCTGGGGAGGCCCCATCGTGACGAGTTCGGACGGGCTCTTCTGTGGATGAAGCCACACAACCACAGTGCCGCCTCGCGTAGAGCCGTTGCTTTCTGCACCCGCGGGTGACTCAGAGGAGAGGCAGCCCGGCCGTGCTGTTTGTGGTAGTGGTACGCGTACCCAGACAGTGCGGAAGCTCGTGTGGCCGTTATGATCTAATGGTGCGCGTATTCCTGCGGCGCAAAAGGGACCTGAAACGCCCACCGCTGGACAGCCCAGCTGTTTAGTGGGAAGAGCCCTGTAACGGCGCCTGTTGTTGGTTCCTGGGCCGGCCCAGTGTCGATTCGGGCCATTGCCATCTTCACTCCAGGGCTGTCGAACAGTCTTTATCTAAGGTTCAGCCACCCCTCACGTGACGTCTTTCTTGCGACGAGATAGCAGTCCAGCTTCGTTCCCCTCGCGCTCCCTTGCTTCTATATAATCCAATCATGCCCATGAGCGCTGCCTCCCTCCTCTTGACGAGTGCATCGCACGAACAGCTTTGTAGCGGTGCGCACTGCTGGTAAGGTGGTACCTCTAGCCGCGCACAGTTGCTGGCTGGTTCCCCGGTACCCCATAACACCCACAGCACCGCTCCAGCAAGACGCGGCTGCCCACCCGGCTTGTGCGCTAACTGTGTGCGCGTGGTTGCTCGCCGCCTGTTTCAATCGGCTGGCGTCGCCGTCGCTCGACCTTCTCCCGCCGGGGGGGAGAAAAACCCTCTCTCTCTTTCCCTCCCATTCTCTCCTCCCTCCCCCAAGCACCCCTGCCGCCTCGTCAACAGACATCGCTTTTGAGGCCACGGCACTCGGAAACGATGCAATCGTAGGAGGTTGAGGCCATCTGGGACACTCGCACTTGCGTGACTGCATTGCATCGTCGTGCAGCCAATCCATCCAGCCTGGCCGTTCCCCCTCCCGAAGACGCAGCGGACCCTTTTTTTTTCCCTCCTCGACTCCGTACTCCCGCTCCCACACAACAGCAGATAACCACCACAACCTACCACATACATACCGCATACATAGACACACACACGCCGTCGTCTCCTGAGACACGCCCCGCACTTCCAAAAGCCCGACGTTATCTCGACCGGCTTATCTGCGACTCCCACCGCTGACACAAAAGGGAACAAAACACACAAAATCTGAGTCGAAAAAACAGCCCGCCGGACGACACGCCATCTGCATCCTCCCACCCGCTGTCTCCCGCCGCTGGTGAGCCAGACAGACGCGCACAGAGGGGAACAGAAACCACCGCCTCCCGCCCTTCATGGCGTCGACTCCGTTCCGGTCTGGAGCGGGCGATCCGCTGATTGCGAGATCGTCGTCAATCCCCCGGGACGAGCCTCAGGAAGTGCCCGATTCCTTCGTTGCTGCCTCGGGGGACTTCTTCAGCCCCGACGATCTCCAGCAGTACATCAGCACTCTCGGCACCGAACCTTTTAAGAATTTCTGGGAGAACCCATCAGCGATTGTCCCGACCGGGCCCTTTGAGGATTCCACCAGCGGCTCGCTTTTCGACGAAGACTTCGACTCTGGCGCCGCGTCGCCCAAGGCGCCCGCTGCGGCAGCTGACACCGCCTCCCTGAACGCGAATGGCCACCTTGATCTCATGGCCGCCTTTCGGACCGCTGAGGCTTCGGCTTCTCCATTTACTCTTGCCGGCCAGTCGTCGACTTTCCTCGGGGCCCCCGACGGGAGCGATATGTTCGCGTTTGGCAGTGGTGACGAGACCGTGACGAACCAGCCCTTCGTCTTCTCACTTCCCGATCCGTCTGCCATTTCTCTCGCCTTTCAGAACTACGGGCAGGCAAATATGGGAGTGGCCCGACCGGAAGAATTGGTCCAGCAGGTCATTTCGGTACGTTGATTTTCTTTACGTCTTGTTTTGGGCAATTCTTCGACTTGCGAACTTTTGGGATTTATATAGTTAGGGCGAAAGGAGGATACTAACTCTCATCCAGCCGCCGGACATGACAAGCCCGAGAGGCCAAAAACGAGCAGCGGCGTCAGAATCGTCGGTATCAGTCAATCAGACTGCAGAGCCATCGCCAGCTACCACCCCTTCATTCGAATCGCCTCAGTGGGGACAGGTTGAACAACCGCAACAAGGCCTTTCTCAGAATACGGCGTTCATATCACAAATGGCCACGCTCGGTCTTCCCCCTTTTACCTACCGTGGCGAATATGGTGTGAATATTCAGCAATCTGCCCTCAAGTCTCGCGTCGAGACCCAGATGATGGTAACCATAACCATGTCTCACCTGCCCTTTGGCGTCACAAAGTTGCATCTGCCCCCCCATACCATCTCCAAGCCTAAGCACAGGCTGAGGCCTCCTCCAACCCCGTCTCCCGATACACTGGAGCTCTTTGTCAGCTTGGTTTGCACAACCCCCATGGAGAACCCGGAGCTGAGGAGGAAAGCCTTGCAGAAAGCTGCCGAGGTTGATCATCGATATCTCCCCAGCCCTCAAGAAGTCGAGCACGAAACTCAAAATGGCTGCCAAGTCCGCATTTGCCCGAAATGCATGGAAAGAGAGCGCAAGCGAGCCAACCGGAAGAAGGAGCATGAAAGGTCCGATCAAGAGGAGCTTTGGTACATGGACGAGTCGCACCGCATCATCATCTTCAACACCTTCGAGATGAGCGACTGGCGACCACCGACCGCGCAGAAGGAAAAGGGCTCGGACAAGCCGCCGCAAGCTGAACTCTTTCGACAGTGCCCCACGGCCAGGCAAGTCGTGGTACCCATGCGGCTCGCGTGCTACTGCCGCCACCAGAAGGAGAAGACGGGCTTCAGGGTCATCTTCACCTTCAAGGACTGGAAGAATAACGTCGTTGCACAGGCCATGTCCGGCTCGATCATGATTACAGATGACCACAAGACGACTTCGCCTTCGGCCGCCGATGACGCCCCCGAGCTCGAGCCTCAAGGCCCGGCCAAGAGGAGAAAAGCGAGCGCAGCAAGCTCATCGGGTTCATCGAGCGCACCCAACACAATGAGCGGGTCGCCGTCATCGTCAGCGGAACCTCAGGTCTTGACCACTAACCACCAGGCCCCTCAAACAAGCCTGCCCTTCCAGAGCGGTCCGGCGCAGCTCACTCCCACGGTCAGCCCAGTCTTCTCGCCCAACATGAATGGCTTCCAACAACCGCAGGGCCATATGGGGGCCATGACCCCCCATGTGCCGGTGGCGAGCGGACCTCCTCCCGCCCTTAATGGCGTTGCCCATGGAATCCAGAACTGGTTCACACCCACACCTCGCCGCCCCGAGAGCAGAGAAGACTCGGCCATGCTATATTCCACGCCGGTATCTCCCCACTCTGGTGGCTCTGTGAGCCCAACCAGAGGTGGTCTGCAGAATGGAGGCAGCCTGGTGCCGCATAACCAAATGGCGCAAGCCAACAACTTTGCAATGGGTCTCGCTGCTACTCCCCCGTCTCCCCCCGAGGCGAAGTCGTCGCCACCCATCATCCACAAAGTCGTTCCGCCCCAGGGCGATCTCAGCGGCGGAACGGAAGTCACGGTGCTTGGTGCCAACTTTTTCCAGGGTCTTGAGGTATGGTTCGGCGACAACAAGGCCACGACAACCACGTTCTGGAGTGAGGCATCACTGGTGTGTCTGGTTCCGCCATCTACGGTTGGCGGACCGGTGCCTCTGACTCTGAGGCTGCTGCCAGGAGCTCAGCCACCGCGAGGCATGCAGGCACCTTCCCACATGGGCAGGCAGCAGACGACCTATACATACAAGTTCAACGGCGAGAACGAAAGTCCGGCACGCTCTCCTTACTCGTTCCTCAACGTGAATCTGGCGAGCTTGCCCATTTTCAATGCCTATATCCCGCAACCTGCACCGCTTATGCGAAAGGTACAGGAGATGATGTCGGCCTCGCCCGGTAAGGCTGCAGACAACTCGAGCGACAATGACAGCAAGGCGGACTCGCGCTGGTGGGATCTCTCATCGTACATGAATAGCGCGGTAGCTCCTCCTGCTTACAACGACATCTATCCGGCAAAGGATGCGCAGGTAGAGGACCTGGATGCCAAGTCCGTTCTTTCGGTAGCCCGCGCGGCTGCTGAGGTGGAGGCGGACATGAAGAAGCGTCGCGTCCGAGACGACGAGCAGGAGTCGTCATTTGCTCAAGGCGTGGTCGTTTACGAGGAGCACGAGACGGTCACTGCGGCCAAGGCCGGCGAAAGCAGCAGCAGCGCCGTCATTCAGCCGCCCGCCATCCTCGAGATTGGGCGCAAGCATGCCATCACCAAGGAGCAGCAAGAGAACTTTTTGCGGGCTCGGGAACAGAAGCTGAAGAAGCTTAGTAACGACCGAAATCTCTTCTTCATTTGGGTGAGTCGCGACAATATCTATCCGTTTGCTCAATCAAACACACTTGCTAACTCTTGTCAGATCCCTCTTCTCTTGGTGATGGTTTGCGCACTGCTCTACAGCTATTTCCCGTCACTCTTCCCATTTATCTTTGCCTCTATTCGAGCTCTGATCCACGTCTTGCTCCGCATGCTCGACTAAACGACGCCGAACCGGCAGTCAAATACTCGGGGTTGAAGGCGGACTACACCTGTACCACTATCGCCTTGGTCTTCGGGCCTCTGTACCCGCCCTCCCCTCTTTACTCTTACAACTCAACTATATGTATTCAACAAGATTTTCTATATGACCCAAACGACCGCCATCATCAAGATGACTGGCTGGGTCTGCTGTGGTTCGGAGTGTGAATAAGGGCTGTGTTTTTTTCTTTTCTTAAATGCGACTGGCTGGGAAGGAAGGGCTGGTGAAATTTGGGCTGCGATGTTTGTTCGGAAGCAGGATAATGATGGGTATGTTCTACGATGATTTGTCTCTAAAGGAGTTGGTGGTCTTCCGGTACAGCAGTCAGTACTTGGTATCAGCGGTACAGTATCTCTTTATTCCTTCTTTTATATCTTTCCACCCCTTGTTGTTCTTCTTTTCGAACGATTTCCCCCCTTTCCCCGTGGACGAACTTATACCTCTTGCTTTTCTTTCTTCTCTTTTTTTTTCCTACCTAGTAGTTGGTGTTGTCGGGGCCTGGCAGACCAACGAGAGATGTGGCTGTGGTTTCTTTTTTTATGGATGTTTCAAGTTTAGAAAGGCAGTTCTTGGATAAGGGAAGCTTTACAGGAACGCAACAAGGTAGAAAACTAGTACTAATAGTATCCCCCCGTTCTTCACTTATTTGCTCAGAACAATCACAGCAAATGCTTGGTTTCATGCAATACGGAGTACTGCCAACTTGGTCTCACACGAATGACTGCCAATGTTTCCACCACATTTATATAAAGACATGAGAGAAGAGAAGAGAAAAGTAAAAGATTGATGTAATGTCTTATCATTCGTAAAAGAAAAAAACTACCTATGGTAAACTAGCCTAACCTATTAATACAACTTCACGTCCAAACTTGCCTCATACCCCCTTCCCCCTGAAAATTCATAATATCATCAAGATCCCTCTCCTCCCCCCCCGCCCTCCCTTCTCTTCCCTCCCACTCCTTTCCTCAAAACTCATATTTCCGGGACGTCTTCATGACGTTTAAGCCATGACACTCAATCCATCTGCATATAGAGTTTGTAGAAGGAAAAAAAGGGTCAAGATGAAGAAGAGGAGATGGAGAAGGAGGAGGAGGAGATCAGAATAAGTAAGCGAATGTAAAACTGGTTAAAAAAAAAGAATAAAAAGACGAGACAAAGCCGGCTTCTTGTCTTCCGCGGGACAAGAAATCCATAACAGGTAACAACAAAGGCCGGGAGGCTTTCCATCCCCCCTTGAAGAAGAGAGCAAGAAAGCAAGTAAACGAAAACGAGAGGGGGGGAAAAAAGAGACAAGGTAGAAAGTAAAAAAGGAGGTCGATCTGATATGCCCCCTTGCGGTTTTGCAGATCATCGTCATACCCAAACCGGGGCAAAAGAGTCGAACGAAATAAAGAAGAAGAGTCTTTCTTCTCTTCTCCTTTTCTCCTCCCTGTCCTTTCCTTTCTTTTTTTCCCCGTCTTCTCTTTTTTTTTCTTTCCTTTTTGCTTTCTTTCTTCCTTCATTTCCTTTTTGCTTGCCGGTATCCCCGTCCGCTTCCATCAGATCCACCTCGCTCGCTCGCCTTTTAATCCTTGCACAAAAACATGTCGTCAAAGTCGTATATACGTGAGAGCTTGTGGGTTTTCATATATTGTTCCTTTTGTCATGACACATAACGTAACAGCAACAAAACGTTTGGCTTTGCATAAAAAACACAAAAAAACGCAATGTTCATGTTACCAACGAAGGGTAAATCGGGGAAGGGAAGCCTCGCTACTGGGAAGCAAGACTCCCGTTTGGGGGGAAAATCATTACATCGGTGGGTTGAGGTGTCCTTTTTTTTTTCGGTTTTTTGTTTTGCGGGTTGCGTTATCTTCCATTTTTTTGTGCTTTTTTCGTGTGTGGTTTTCTGTGTGTGGTTTGGTGATGATGGCCCTCCGAACGGATGGGGTATAAGAGCAAAAAAAGATAAATCATTTCATATCTCGTCATAAGAGAGAAAAAGAAATTCGTTAAAAATCCGAATCATGCTCGACCCGAAAATGCTTTTGATGGAGAAAATGATGGTAACCGAAATCGCCGAAATGCGCCATATAAAACAATCATTATGTGGAAAAACAAGTCGACAACTCCTTCACCGTCTCAGCCCCCGCCAGGGCTGACCATTCTCTCGATCTTCTCCAAAGGTATACTTGGCGGGAATAGAGGGGACGCTGGGGATCCCTCGGTTGGCGTTGGGAACCACCTTGAGGGGCTCCGCGGCAGCGGCAGAAGCAGCAGCAGCGGGAGCCGTTTTTCTCGCTCGCAGCAGCCGGGAGCTCTTGGATCCCGAGCCGATGGCACGAACGCTGTAGACGCTCTCGCCGCTGTCTCGGCAGGACGACGTGCTGTCGAGGGACGCGCGAGGGGATGAGGCCGCAGACGATGTGGGCGAGGTTGCGCACAGCAGGTGGGAGGACCGCCTGCTATGCCGGCTCGACGCGCTGTGATAGTGGTGAATGACCACGGGCGGGAGGCTGGTGCTGCTCGGGTGCTTGCGAGCCTTTGTCCGGCCGGTCGAGAGCTGCCGCCGGGATCCAGAGCTGCGAAGGATGGGAATGTTAAAGTCGCGAGAAGCCGTCTTACGGATCTTGGTGCGCGATTCCCTGGTCCGGTTCGGTTTCGGCCTTTCGTCCTGGTGGATCTGGATCTCGGGGGACGACGGCTGGTTCTCGTTTGCGGTCCGCTTGGTGCCTCTCGAGTCACTGCTGGCAGGCGTCATGATGGATAGCGACGTCCTGTTGCTCCTGGGCGTCCTGGGCGTCTTGGGCGTCGTGTTGAGAGGCCACTTTGGCGGCGGAGGCAGAGAAGGGGGAGCATGGGTAGGCGGCAGCGGCGGCGGCGGTGTTGAAGGAAGCGCCTGGTGGCTGGTAGCTGGCCGTTGCCGCACGTAGCCCGGCGGAGGAGGCTGTCGCGTGGACTGGATGGCATGAGAGGTGAAGAAGCCCGACTCGACCAGCAGATGGTAGCTCGCCAAGGCCTCTTCCCTAGTGGGCCTGTCGTCGAACACACCGGGCGTAGGCTTCTTGGGCGAAGGGGTCGAAGGGGTCTCCTGCTTCTTCTGCTCTGGTGATGCCGATGGCGTATCCTTCTTGAGCTTGAAGCGCCCTCGAACGCCCTCCCACACCTGGCCCAGGACGCCCTTCTTGGGCGACGTGGTAGCAGTGCTCGGTGCCACGCTGGGCGCGACACTCGGCGCGACGCTCGGGGCGATGCTGGGAGCGATGCTGGGGGCTTGCCGGGACATGTACAGCTGGAGATGGCGCGTGGTGTCCTGAGAGCGGCGGGAGCTCCGCAGGTTATACTGGTGCTGCTCGAGCTCGGCGTCCAGCGGCCTCTCCAGCGCCTCGATCTCGTCGGGCCCGAGGAACTGGGACGGCGGCACGGCAGAGGCGCGGTCGTTCATGGAGCCCTCTTGGAAGCGGCTGCGGCTCGGCTCGGGCTTGAGGCCCTTCTTCTTGGGAGCGCCCATGGCGGGCAGACGTGCGTAGCAGGGAGCCGATGGAGAAGAGGAGGGGGAAAGGGGGGGACAAGTCGTCGGCTTTCGTTGGCTGAAGGGCTCGGTGAGGGTCTGATTGGCCACGGCGTGTTGCCCGCAGACGATTCGCTCTGTCGATGCGTTGGGATGGGATGAAGACGATGAAAGGAACAGGTGTCGGTGTCAAGCCGCATCCATTCCCATCCGATCGAAAGAAAGAATCGCCTTTGTTCTCGGTTTGTGTTGTCGACGACTCCGCCCGCCGTCGTGCTTGGTGCCACCAGCGCCTTTTTGCTTGTGTCTCTTGTGTCTTGTCTTGTCCCGTGTCCCAAAACAAACGGCCAGTAAACAAAACACACCTAAAACACGGACCAAGGCCCAAAGGCTCCAAATGGTTCCAAGCGCCCTTGCGACCGGAATGCTGCTGCTCTGCTTGCTCTGCTCGTTATGTACTCGCAGCAGCTGTTGGTCCTCTCTTCTCTCTCACGTCGATCCTGGTCTCGGGGAGAAGGGGAATCTCGTCTGTCGTCGCCGCTCTCCGCAATCTTTAATAAGGTTTAATGAGGGATCGTAAGCTGGGGCCGGGCGAAGCAGAGAGGAGTGATTTTAGCCAAGGTTCGATTCGACAGTCTCGCAGTGATGACATGATCCTTTTTGATTGGAAGAAAATAGGAGGAGGAGCAACGGCGGGAAAGGGGCTGGGGCAAACATCTGATTGGGCTTATTGTGTCTCTTCTCGTCGGGTGCGACTTACGTCCAATCTGGGGTCAGCAGCGCTGTACCTTGTTGTCTTGCCTGTTGTCCTCTCTCTGTTTTGTCTTGTCTTGGTGGTGCTTCTTTTCCTTTTCTGCAGGAAGCCAAAGACACCCAGAGGCAGCAGCAACAACAACAACTTCTTTGGGCTCTCTTCGAACCGGCCCAAATTGACCTTAGCTGCCTGCAGGCTCGCAGCGCAACCGCAGGTCAGATGGTTAGCAACAACAACACAACGCCTAGGGGGGGAGCAGCCACCGAAATTGAGAAAACAGGCGCAGCTTGTTTTGCTTTATGTGCGGCGCTGAGGGAGGCTTGGGTGGGCTCCCCCGTCCATGATCCATGCATGTCTGCCCGCTCCCCCGGCCACACGTGAGCGTCGCCCATGGCAACGCGCCTGCGGGTTTGGCTCCAAAGGTCCCTGCTTGAGTAGCTTGAGAGCGTCCGCGCCGACGATCCCGGCCGGTACCCAGGGATCTCGACAGGGATGTGGATGGAGGCAGGGGTTGGAGAGAGTTGTGGCACGGCTTAGCTTCCCCTTTGCAGCGCTGTCGTACTCGTATGTACTGGTGGCGGGACGGCGTGTACTCGTATGATTTATCGCGAGAAGGAGAGGAGAGGGAAGAGAGAGGCTGTCGCTTGCATGCAGGTTGCTGAACTGTCACAGTCGTGCCGCAGGATCCAAGGACGATGAGATGGCACAGGGCCTCGTTATAAAGGAATCCAGCCCAGACCCCAGCATCAGCAGAAAGAAACAACAGCAGTAACGACGGCAACAGGCCCGAACAACACAAACACGACACGACACGCACACCAAGCATCAACCCGCCAGCCACGAATTCCATCACAGGACCAGCGGCACAGCTTAAGCGCTGTGCGCCGTCGAGATTGCAACATGGGACCTGGTCCGGGCTACCAAATCAGTCCGAACGTTTTCTCAACCAGCCCCCCGAACAGCGAGGGTATTTTCGGACAAATGCTTCCTTTCACCTGCGTCTCGTACCACCGACTCTTCATTCGTGTGTAAATCCTGAACCGACGAGAGAGAAAGGACGCTAGGACTTGCGAGTCGCGGACGAGAGCCGCGAAAGTGAGGAAGAAAGAACAGAGCTCTGTCTCTCAGGTCAGGGTACTTCTGCTTCTTGTCTGGGAATCTCGGTCCGATTTGCTTGGCTGGAATAACCCGTGCAAAGAAGCATCTGAACTCGCTATGAGTGAAATATGTACTGGCGCGATAAGTCGTCTTGGTAAGTTGAAGTTGGAGAAAGAGAGAATCGGAAAACGGCTTGAGAGAGAATATGGAAGGCAGCGAGAAATTGCCAGGGCCACCGCCCTTTGCCAACGTCGTCGCTAGCACCAAGATGTTTCCACCTGAGGCTGCGGCTGTGCTGCTCCCCTGAAACTTGAATCAACCCAAAACTCCAGCAAATGTCACTGCCGAACATCTCCTCATATCAACCCCCATTTCTCACCTCATCTCACCTTACCGTACAAGCGGTATGAACCATTGTTGCAAATCTGTATCTGCATCTACATCTTGCATCGCCATATGGCTCCCCCCCGTCCATCACTCACGTTAACTACTGCACTCCAGAGCCCCCATCTTCATGCACACGTCCGCCGCGGATCGCAGCAGGTAATTAAAGCAAGCGCGTGTGTACCTTACCTTACCTTGCTTTCTTAGTCTCCCTCTGTAATAATTACGGGGTATCAGTCACGGCACTCGGACTTGACCGACGATCGGTCAACGGCAACGTTCGCGGGTCCTATGCATCAGTCTTTCTTTTTCCCCAGCCTCTTACTTTTTTGTGTCTTCAACAGTCGACATTACCATGTACTCGTGTGCTTCTCCAAATGATCTTGGTCTTCATCTACACTATCCACTGATATACTAACGTCGCCTTTGTTTGAACCGGATACGACGAACATAAACACTTCTATCACATTCGAGACTCGAAATCACCTCTGCAAAGTAACGGCCGTCCAAGGAGAATGGTAACGAGTAGGACGATTCTTGTAGGATATCCTTTCGATCGCTTAAAACACTCCCATACCACATCATCTGGCCACTTACATACAACGTATCGTTATGATGACATACGACAGTCACCCATTCATGTCAATCAGTATTTTGAAACCCCAGAAGTGCCCATAGATCGTATCATTCAATATATCAAGATAAGCGACATCGACGAGAATATTTAAAATAGATAACCAAGACCAATAGATATCGGGAAAAAAAAGAGTGTAGCCGCCCGGCTTTTGGCACATAATAGGTAGGTAGTAATAGATCCTCAAAGCTGGAAAACGAAGGCAAAAGAAAGAAAAAAACTCCCGTACTCAGGTCCCTCTCATTAGCATTCCACGCATAAAGGGTTCCCATGGACGAAGAAAATCCAATATCAAGGCAGAAGAAGAACAAGATATAAAAGGGAAGAGTGAGACTAAAGTCGCTGTGTTCCGTTGAGCCATCTCACTTTGATGGACAAGAGACGGACAAAAGAAAAGACCCAAGGTTAAAAAAAGAAATTTCCCTCGAAACTACCGTCGTGTGTTCCCCAACTCCATTAATCCCGCAAAAGCTCCCTTCATATTTCCCTCTTCCGATGGAGAACAAAAGAGGTATTTTGAACAAAAGGGTAGTAACCCCAAAACGCCCATGAGAAATCTATCGCACATCAAAATGCAGATAATATACTCCATATGATTTTTCTGTCACCCAAAGTCGGAGCCAAAAATTTCACTCATGACCTTAGACCTGGTATTGGTTGAAGGTGACAACGCCGATCTGACCGTCTGCACGCGAGTACAAGCCCTGGTCCGGCTCGGGGGTGAGCCCGCGGTATCCGTGACCATAGTGCGCGTCAAGCTGGCGCTGGCCGTTGTACAGCGGCTTGTGGTTTTGAGAAAAGACGTGGTCGTGTTTCCTCTTACCACCAGTCGACAACATGGGAGGCGGAGGGAGAGGCTCGGTCTGGGCCTCAATGGGCGGCAAGGGAGACACCAGGGACGCAATCTTGAGCGGCGCCAGAGACGACTGAGACATCTGCGGCCTGGGAGGCGGAGGCGCCGGAGCCGAGTATGGCGCTGGAGGGGGAGCCGAATAGTGCGTCGGAGGAGCGGGCGCAGAATAGGGCGCAGGAGCAGAGTAGCTGGCATAGGAAGGCCGCCTCTCGCTCGATGCATATACAGGAGATGACTGAGGCACATATGGCTCGGAAGGCCGGTTGTCGTATATGGCGTGCTTCATCGGCGGCGCTGGGGAAGCACTGGGCGCCGGAGGGCGGGCGCTATAATTGTACTGCTGCTGATCCTGCTTAGCATACGGGGACGGCCCCGCAGACGACGATGTCGGATATGGCCCAGTGGGTGTCGCAGGGGGGATCGGTGCGCTCTGCGGGTGGCCGTATGGCCGAGGAGCGGGTGCGCCGTACTGCGGCATGTTGTGGTCTCCGCCAAAGCCCAGATGTCCGGGGCGAGCGGCGGGCGGAGGTGCGTCGTAGGACGGGGGCGGAGGAGGGGGTAGCGAGGGAGCATGGTAGCTCTCGGCAGCAGATGGTCGCCGTGACGGCTCCTGCGGCATGTACGGCGCGCGGTGCTCGCTCGCGTTGCTGACGGATCTGGCCCGCAGAATGGGATCCTCGGCGGGAGCCGGCGTCACGGTCCGGCGCCGAGAGTACTCCTCCTCGCGTCGGTCGAAGCCGCTGCCCTTGCCGTCGCGCTTCCTCATGCGAACGTCGCGACGGATTCGAACTCGGCAGCCCTGGTCGGCAACCGTCTTGCTGAGCGAAGTGCTCTCCATGAGTCCGGGGAACTTCTTGGCGCTGAAGACGTTGAAGGGCTGCGTCTTGATCTCCATCCTCCAGTCCACTCCAGGGGGAAGGTCGGAATCGGCCGGCTCCAGGTCGAAATCCTTGGGCTCCTTGGTCGTTTCATACAAGCTAAAGGACAGGCGGAAGTAGCCTTCGTGTCGGACGGACAGGTCGGGGAAGATGAAGTATCCAGCCTCGGTTGGTCGGTCGAGGTAGGCCATGCCAGATGCAGGAACACCAGTCAGGATGGGGGGATTGTTGGTGGCGCCATTTTGGACGCGGCCGTGAGCAATCGTGCGAGCCTGCTCAAGGCTGGCATACAGAAAGAAGTTGGCGTTGTAATCAAAAGTAATGTCCTTGCCCTCTTCGACGGAAGGTCCCTCAATGATACGGAGCTCGACAACAGGCGGCGGGTCAACAGGTCGTCGGTCGCTGTTCGCTATGAGAGGAGTCAGCAAAGGGGGGACTACAACGCGCCATGCCCAGTTGACTTGGCTCCGTCAAGTCGCCAACGCACCTTTCATGCCCGAACCACAGGCACGAGCTCGCTCCGGCTGCTGCAGAACCGTCAACTGGTACCAGAGGTGGCGGTTCTCTCTCGTCACGCGATGGATGCGCTGGACCATGTCCCGCGAGCTGGACGAGGCCATGGAGGAAGGCGTCGCCATAATGCTGCGCTCGGTTCAAAGACGTCGGAGAAGGTTGTGAATAAAGTATGGAGAGTTGAGACTACTTGACTCGAGTCAATGCTATGATTCCATTTGAATGTTGGTGCATGATAATGGCAGAGGAGGAAGATGGCAGTGATGATGCAGCGAGAAGCCCCGACAAACATGACCGGCTCAGCTTGGGAAAATGATGTCCTACTCACGTCTCAACTAGAAATCGTCCGAGATTCGAGACACTCTGCGGCGGGCGAAACCGTCAAGGCGAACAGAGCCCAGTGCTGAAGCCAGGCCAGACGGCGAGCAGCAGAGGCAGATGGTGGACGCGGAGAGTCGACAGAGGGGCGGTCATGTATATTACGAGTGAATAGGTGCCGTCCGTCCAACTCGACTGTTTTCAATCGTTTCGCTTGGGCGACGTTGTCGCTGTCGTGTCGCTGTCGTGTCGTGCCGTGTGTTGAGGAAGAAGCGGGTTGCAAAGGAGAGGAACCAGACCAGCGGGAGAGACGAAAGGGAAGATCTGGGCTGGGTGGATGTGCGACCGTGGAGATAGTAAGAGGAGGAGGCCCAAGCGGCCTGCCTTGTCCTTGCCTTGCCTACTTTAGCCCGGACCTGCTGCTGGTCCTGGCCTGGCCCGACCCTGGCTGCTGGGCTTGTCACTGGAGCCACTCCGCTTCCCGGGTGTGTGAGGAACGGCCCCGGGAGTCTGGGACTAAGGGCAGCGGGTCGCAGCTGAGGGGGGCCTGGCATGTCCAGGACTTGGGCCGTCGAATCAGGCAAGGCAGGCCGTGGCCGAAGCGCGAAAGGGGGGGTGGGTTGATTGCAGCCAGGGTTCCTTTCTCTCTCTCTCTCTTTTGGCGGCGCCTTGTCTTGTCGTCGCTTCTGAGATGCATGGAGGGGGTGATTGGCGAGGGGGTGCGAGTTGGTGGCAGAGGAGAAGAGGCTAGGATCAGGATGGCGGTTGGGTTTGTTCGGGAAGAGGAGGAGGGATCTTCCCCCAGCTTCGCCTTGGACCTCAGTTATCAAGGGCCATGGGCTTGAGGTCTGTGGTAGTACAAAGTCCAGGTGCTTGGAGTTGTCGCAGTTGTACAGCAGCCACGGGTGCCTTTTGCTGCTGCGCTCACGGCGTCACACGGCGGTGCTGGTGCCAGCAGGTACGCGGGGCGCTGGTACTGCTGGGACGAAGCTGCAAGCTGGATGATGGTATGCTGAAGGTACCTTGGCGGACCGATCCTGGGCTTGTTGGTCATCCTACAGGCGCACTTGACCCAATTACAGTGCGCTTTTGCACGCTGACAGTCCGGGCTCCCAGTGAGAACAGTGCAATGAGCACCCCTGTAGTTGTATTGTAGCGACGACAACTGCCTGCCAGAGTGCCTCATACCGGACCGAAGTACTGTTGTCTCTCCCTCCGTGCGTGACTGCACGGTTCGATGCAAGCAGGTACCAGCACATGGAAGCAATTGGAACTCCTGCGACGGCAAAACCACAGGAACCAGAGGAAAAGCCAACACCAGTCGCTTTCCGACAGACGCTGCAGTCATGACGAGAGGCTGCAGCCCTGAGCGACTATCGAACTGCACTCGTACGGAGTACATTACATGTGCTTTGGTGCCCCCCCGTGGCACTGGGCAAATTAATCAATTGGACGCGACACGGTGACCCCCCCCTTCCAGGCGTCGTGGCGGTTGGCTCCAGACTCCCTTTTTCTCCACGCTCTCATGTCTCCGGGCCTTATTCTCCCCCCCTTCTTCCCCTCCCTTCCCTCTCCGGCGGGTTCCAGACGGTCGGTCGCAGCTTTGTTTGCCTCTGGTTCGGCAGGTTCCCAGCAGCTGGGGCTCCTCTGACAGCGCTGATGCTTGTGTGCTCGTGGTTGTGCTCGTGCTCGTGCGCGTTTGCTTGTGTTACTCGCAAATCACTCTGGGCCCCCCTTTTTTTCTTCTCCATTTTCTACCTTACGGTTCCTTATTATTGAGAGGTCAAGCTTGGCCCTGTGTGGTACTTTGGACTTGTTGCCGGTACCGAGAACCTAGTGGTCGGGTCGAAGGTTCAAGAGAATGGAGATGCCTGAACCAAGGGGGCGGGAAAGGCAAAGGAAACTGACTGGACTGGAATGGAGACGGAAGGAATGCCAAACCCAGGCGGGCGGTTCGCCTACGCCTTCGCCGAAACGTCTGGGCTTCTTTTGACGTGTCTGCTGTCTGATGCGAAAAAGCTACGTACAGCGCCTTTTTTTTACTGGCAGTCATCGCTTCCGTGTAAGCCCGCGCAGGGTCTTTTTGTCACAACTGACAGGACCTGACTCGGGTCATGGCTAGTTTGGCTGATCTCATGAGCACATGCTGTTGATGAACGCCGGAGCAAATAGACCCGGTAGAGAGCAACTCCTCTGAGAAGCATACAGATAGAAAGGGAGAGAAAAGCAAGACATCGGCCAGTCACACTGGAGCGGATGGGCGGACACAACACCCACGGAGCGCAGGTACACGTCGGCTTACTGCTCTCTCTCTGTCTCTCTCTCTCTGTGCGATGCGGTGGCACATGTTCCCTTGCGAGCAACCATTCTCGTTGCTGCAATACATAGCTGATCATCGTGGCAGGCATTTGGCGTCGTGCCGTTATCGTTCTGCCATGAGGCGCAAAGTACCCAAATACAGTTCCCAAGAAAACGTCGCACTCACGCCCAACGAAGTCAGCGAATGGGACTCAATCGCAATCCCTCGCGGCCCCCCAGTTCCCTTCCGGCGCGCGTGCACACAATCTGGCGCACAGTCTGCAGAACCGGCGCGAGTCCCAATCTCGAGTACGGTACCCCAAGGTGGCAGGCAGGTCTTAGCCCTGGTGCAGTTTATAGTAATAAATGGCTGGGCGTCTCCCGGCGTCATCCAAACGACGGTCCCTTCTCGTCAATGGCTTCTGTCAGTATCGATCGTTTTTGCTCAGTGGCGCAGACCGGACTGCTCTGGCTAAGATCCTGCCTGGTGCTCAGCTGAGTCCCATTGCGTCTCTCTCGGGTCCGAAGGCCCAGCAAGCCGCTAGTACGTACTGCTCTAAGCCTGACCTGGTCCCCCTCGTCTCGGCTGCCGCCCGTTAGCATCAATTACTATAGTGGGAGTCCATCGTATCTCGCACAGTGCAGCACCCCCAGCCCGTCCCGGCACCGCAGCCTGGCAACCTGGTACCTCGCGTCAATGTCCCTTGGCGACGAGAACCTGGGCCATGGAGCCGGGGTGTGCGCCACAGCTCGGGCTCTGCTTCAATCAAAATCCCTTCCAATGATTTTCTCCCTCTCTTGCCATATTGCACGGGTGGGGTCTAGCGCCGCCAAGGCACGGGCGCAATCAATCAATCACTCCTCACTTGCACCACCCGCTTCTTTTTTGGGGTGCACCGCGGCGGCACTGCAAATCGGTGATACCAGGAGCGGAAACGGCGGCCCAAGAGCAAGTCAGCAGAACCGTCTTTTCTTTCTGCTCTTGGGCAGGCTTACACTGTTTTGTTTCCCTTTTTTTGCCCTGCGCTAATACCTAGTACTACTGGCTTATTATTGTGTAAGTGTATGTCGTCTGTCTGTGGGTGTGCTGGAGCCTCTTTTCATTCTGGCAGATTGATGGTATGACGGACGCGGACTGGCTGGGCTCCGGGGGGCCCAGGATTGCGAAGGGGAGGGTCTGGCTTGATTCCCTCTGGGCCCTGCCATGCAGCTCGTTGACTCGTCCCATCCTTGCCGGTACCCAAAGAGTCGCAGCCCTGGGATTGCTGCTGCTGCTGCTGCTGCTGCTTGCTGCACGTTCCGGTGGTGGTGTCGATGGAACCGTGGCAGCAGTTGACCAAGCAGTCATCCGGGCAGCGGCGACGAGTCGACGGCCACAGCCTGACGCTTGATGCTACTTCGTATGCACAGAAGCACTCAAAATACCGTTTTGCTAGAGCATTCCGCATCGGATACCACAGGCCTGCCACGCTTCTCTTCCGCGCCTTGCGTCTTTCTCTTTCTTGTCCCGTCCCCCCCAGCGCCTCGTGCGTGATACTACATTAGCAGGGCTCCCCCCCTAACCCTCCCCCGGCTGCTGCACCCAATCCCAGCATCATCCCGTCTGCCTGCGTCTCAGGTCTAGCGCTGCCGTCCTGATAGAAGAGAAACATGCAAAGCAGAGTTGTTTCTCCTCTGTGACGCGCCACGCTGCTCATCTCGTCGAGATGCAATCAACTATAAAAGGCAAATCCCGTATTGTCTTTATTGTCCTGCTTGTGCCACTACGGCTCTCGCTCGTCCCAGAGAAACTCCGCAATCTAAGATATACAGTCCTGTAATACTGTACTGTAGCCGCTAGATCTTCTCATCCTCAAGCTACTGCAGCTAAACAAGGCCAGCCTTAGTGTCCACCCGGCCGACGCCGGCCCGTCATGGATCTTCCCTGCTTCATCTTCTATTTTATCCCCCCTTCATCTTTTGCCCAGAATTCTCTGCTCCCCCAATCGTCAGCCTCCCCGAACCTGGCTCGGCCCACGAAGTCCTCTTTTTATTCTCTTACTAACACATGGGTTTCCCGTCCCGTTCCCTTTCTCCACTGGGAAAACGGGGGTTAATTTGCTCGCTTTTGCTTTCCTTCCGGGTGTGCTTGTCATGTTTCCGTCTGCGAGCCGCGCCCGCCCATTGATTTGCCCACTCGTATCTGGGATCTCGTGGGCTAATGCTTAACAAAGTAGTAAAAGATTAGTGAGATCGCACAGGGACGAAGCCTTGCGCTATGTCAAATGTTGCTCGCTTTTTCGTTTTGCTTGCTTGATTCTCTTTTTCTTTTCTCCGCCTCTCTGATATCAGCACCTTTCTCTCGTCTCCTTGATGTTGAGGTGGTGCAATCCACACACAAGTAACACGACAAAGGGGAATAACATCACCAATGAGAGCTCTGTGCACGCACACACACACACACACACTCGGTTCCCATACGAAAGAAAAAGGCACTGCACTGCCGTGTCGGATCATGCAACCTGACATG